CTTGTTGCATTATATGGTGAACTAGGAAGGTATCCTATGATGATACAGCGTAAAATAAATTTAATTAGATTTTGGATACGAATAATAAAATCAGATGATAATAAATTACTTAAAATGACATACAATATGCTTAAAGATGATTTTAATGATGGTCATAACTATAATGGTCTTAATTGGGTCGGACATGTTCAACAAATTTTCGATGAAATAGGTATGTCAAACATTTGGCTATCCCAAAATGCTGACATCGTATCTTTACAAACTATTAAACAAAGGATAATTGATATATATAAACAATCATGGGATGCTGAAATTAGAACTTCAAATAGATTACAGTCATATAGCTGGTATAAGAAAGAATTAAAAGTAGAACGATATTTAGATGTAATACCTAATAGTAAATTTAGAATAGCACTGACAAGATTCCGACTATCATCTCATGATTTAATGATTGAAAAAGGTAGACATTTAAATATTCCCAGAAATGAAAGAATATGTTCAAATTGTAATATGAATGTTATAGAAAACGAGTACCACTTTCTTTTAGTATGCCCAAAATATACTAACTTAAGAAAAGCCTACTTTAATCCATATTTTTGCCATTGGCCTACTAAGCAAAAATTTATCTCACTTATGAATTTAGACTCTGTTAAAAGTATTTTGAATGTCAGCAAATTTATATACAAAGCTTTCCATATGCAATAATTCTTCTTTATTCCAAAACGAATTTCATTATCATAACCTGATGTTCACTGCTTTGTTTTCTTTTTATCTTTTGTAAGTATTTTAAGTTAATGTAAACACAATGAAATGGATCTCCATATTTGAATTGTTTTACAAAAATGTATTCAATAAACATAAATGTTGCTCGTAACAAGAAAAAAATATTCTTTGTAATATGTTTTACTATAGAAATAACACAACAGATAAATGGTAATAATGATGAAAAATATTGTTAAGAAAATACTTTACAATTAATTATGTTCACTCTGTTAAAAAATAATAATTTAAGATTAATTTGTATAAATCATTTGTATATAATTCTCTGTTAACCATGTACTTGCCCTTATATGTTTGTATTATATATTGAAATGGCTATAAATGTTGTAACATTTAATGCTGAATAAATATTATGTTATGTTATGTTATGTTATATAAAGATATTTCATTTAACTATAAACGTTTTGTATCAAGAATATAGTTGACAATTGAATAAACGATCAATATAGAAGAAGCTAGGTCTTTGGAAACTGATGACCGTTGAAGACCGGAGAAGGTCGAACATAAAACAATTATTTCTTTTTAAGAAAATGATTAAATAGGCCTACCATTTTATGAATAATTCCGAGCAAAAAAATAAATAAAGTAAACACACAAGTTTACGCAGAAAATATCTCTATTTATTATGGCAGATGCCACTACGAATATTTTAACTTTGTAGATTTTCAGTATAAACAATTTATTGTTTGTAAAATTTGAGATAGATATTAAAGAAACATTGATAATTTTCAAACACATCATTCAAGTTTTTCCACCTTAAACGGTAAAATAATTATAGAAAATTAGAAAAATCACGTAATAGTTTTTGTTCTTAATTATGGGCAATTCGGACTAATTCCCTACAGGTAAATCCGTAACGTACCGGCAAACGGTATTTAGCTAGGATTTCGAAAAGGTCAATTAACCAATCATGTACGGTTTACAGATCACATGCTCCTCCATGTACCGAAAACAGGTCACGTGCCCCTCCATGCCTCAAAAGTTAAACGCGTACCAATACCCTGCGGTCTCCAGACCGCAGGGAATAAAATGGCACTTTTACGGGGCATCCTTGTACTATAGCACATGTCTAGTTAATTAGAGAAATTCATATAAATGGTGTAATCTGATTGGTTATTTATTTCGTGGCCACGACTTAGCTATCTCGTTCCCACGACTTAGTAACTCGTGGCCACGACATAGTATATCGTGGCCACGACTAAGCTATCTCGTGTCAACGACTTAGTAACTCGTGGCCGCGACTTAGTAACGCGTGGCCACGACATAGTATCTCGTAGCCACGACTAAGCTATCTCGTTCCCACGACTTAGTAACTCGTGGCCACGACATAGTATATCGTGGCCACGACTTAGCTATCTCGTGGCCACGACTTAGTAACTCGTGGCCACGACTTAGTAACTCGTGGCCACGATTTAGTAACTCGTGGCCACGACATAGTATCTCGTGGCCACGACTTAGCTATCTCGTGGCCACGACTTAGTAACTAGGACCACGACATAGTTTCTCGTGGCCACGACTTAGCTATCTCATGGCCACGACTTAGCTATCTCGTGGCCACGACTTAGTAACTCGTGGCCACGACTAAGCTATCTCGTGGCCACGACTTAGTAACGCGTGGCCACGACATAGTAACTCGTGGCCACGACTTAGCTATCTCGTGGCCACGATTTAGTAACTCGTGGCCACAACATAGTATTTTGTGGCCACGAGATAAATAAAAACACACACATGTCACATTTGTGCCACCGTAGCATAGTCACGGATAGTCTCACATCAATTTTTTATTTTATTTCATACGCAAAACGAAAGTAATTCCGTTCAATCCCACGCGAAGTCATGACCCGTACATAATAAAGGATCACGTTATATATAAAAAAAGCTTTATTGTTTGATGACTAAAACTTTCCCTGATTCAAACTCTTGTCCCATGTAATTATATCTCTTCCTGATAGAAAATACAACAATTAAAACTTTATTTAAGCCTTTAAAATTGGCATGACAAAGTCACATTTCGCCATTAATGAAAAACAAAAGTGAAATTAATACTGTTATTTATAACAGATATCTGCATTGAAATTTTGGGAAGAGCAAAAAGAGAATGAGCGGAAATAATGTATTCATGAAAGATATCTTTACCGAACTTTAACTCCTTTATGGTAAATTCAAATTAACATTTGAGGACGCCCTCGGGAGTTTTCAAGTTTTCATATAGACATATACATGTAAAGGCATAATTGAAAGTGTTCAATAGAAAAAAATGAAATAAACAAATAAAAAAAATCAATTAAAAAAAATCAATAAAAAATATCATACAACATTGCCAGACTTCTGTTTTAATTATTGCGATGTGCAGGTTAAAAACTTAAAATAGCTTAAACTTTATTATACACGTAGAATTCAAAGTTATTATATCAGCTTAAGTGAATGGTAATTAATATGGCTTGATATAAAACACACTTTTAAACTATGAACGAGGTTTTAAAGTCACTTCTCCATAATTATAACAGCAAATAGTGTATAAATCTTTGATACATAAAGCAAAATTAACATTGGAGTAATACCCCACCCAAAAAAAGGCATGTATAATGACTTGTCCCAGGAATGTCCCTCATTTCTTGCAGCAAGAAAATTAATAATTTTAGAACCATTCAATATATAGAGGATATTCAAGGTTTTTCTATGAATACATGATTTATTTTCATCGAGTGGTATGAAAATAAATATTTCATGAGTGGCGGTAGCCACGAGTGAAATATGGTAATTTTCATACCACTAGATGAAAATAAATCGTGTATTTATAGAAAAAACTTTTTCTGTTTATTATATACATTTTTCTCTTTTTTGACATTAAAATTTGAAAGACTTTCCCTTAAATTTTGTGTACTGGCAGAATTTAAAAGAAAGTAGTCCGGCAAGACACAAGTGAAAATACGGAAAATATGTTTCACTGCAGTGAAAAATAAATTTTTACAGTGAAAATACGGAAAATGAAAATAAGGTTTATTTCATCAATATTTCTCAATATTTCATTTATAAGTATATAATAAATTAAATGTTTTGTCCTTGTGCATATCTTTGCCGAGGATCTCACCCATGGTGAAAACACACATACGCACGCACACACGCACACGCACGCATGCAAAATCAGTAGAACAAAACTATATTGAATATGCCAGCTAATCACCGGCAATTAATATTTGCAACATACATTTTGTCTCGGAACATCATAAACAACGAAGATAAATATCCTAAATTAAAGGCAAGTATAGTCAAACACCTGTGCAATTTTCAGGTACAACTGTCCTAACTATTAAACATGTACAACTGCGCCCACGTTTTCACATTTAAACTGTTTATCTATTATGATTTAAAGCTGTAAACAAAACTTTCAATTTTCCTGTAACATTAGATTATAGTGGGAAACTTAATCGTGATGATATACCATCATAGTCATCATTAATTTGCTGTTTTACATTAAATTTCATGCTTTGTTTAAATATCCAAACACGCAATCCAAAAAAAAAATCTTGTAATTTAAATACACGTTTCAATTTTTTACCTAAAGGTATCAAACGATATAGTTTCTTTTTAAGCATCTTTTTATATTTATATATTTTAAAGTAAACTAAATTTTAGGTCGTTATAAGACTTTAAAACTTTGAACAAAAACGTTTAAAGAACAACCTCATCTAGCAATTGTGGGAAAGGAACAATACGGAAAAAATAGTAACCCTCCTGAAAATTGCAAATTTATTTACTATTTCAAAATCATATTGATAATATGACAAAGTTCAGTCTACATAATATCACATTTGATTCTTCGCTTCTTCTTCGTTTATTTTGTTGTTGTTCGTTTAACTGTTGTTATTTCTTATTTTTGATTTTGGTTTTGTTATTCGTTTAATACATTTTGCACTATTGTTTGTTTATAAATTTGATTGTTGTTGTTTCTTTTACGTTGATTGGTTTGGTTGTTTGTTTTTGTTTCATTTTTTTGTATATTATGGCAGATTTGTGGGTTGGGGGCATGGTCTTTTTTATTCATGTTCATTTATACTTTTTCATTCAATAAACAAAATTAATTTAAGACAACCTTTTGAACGAGTTTTTGTTTTGTTTCTTTATTATGATGTTGCAATTAGGACACACACTTATCCGTCCCTTTTAAAGACAAAGATAACCTACTTTTAAGACTTTTCATTGATAAATATCTTAATTTAGTTCAAGGTCTACTATTTAACATTTAATATGATTTTGAAATAGTTAATTATGTTGTTTAAGCTGTTGTTAATATATACAATAATTGACTTCACGTGCGGTCAACAGAAAGTGTGGACCGACGATCATGTTATCAACGCTCTTGGTGACCATGGAGACAGGATTGCTGACCTTGAGAAACTTGTACAGTCACTCGTCGCAAGTCAATCAGTGCTAAAGAAAGAATTAGAAGATCTGAACGCGACAAATATGGAACTTTCGGTTCAGTTGAAGGTATATCTTCGATCAGTAGTTTTACTTCTAGTAATATCACGTTTTAAATAACCAACAGACGCTTGTTACGGTTTTGCTCATTTTGTCATATCCAGAAATTGAACTCTACGGACATTGCTTCAAATTCCTTTATTTATTTATTTATTTATTATTTTGATGTTGTATATAAAAACCGACGCATTGCAAAAACTTTCCGTTCATGTTTGCCATTTTATTTCAACGTAGTACGCTTTTCAATGCAACGTCATATGTAAGACTTCATTTGATTTTACATGTCGAATGTTGTTTGGTAGTTTTCATATTGGTATTTTTCTCTGACGTCATTTGCTTGTTTATCTATTTACCATCATCCTTCACAGAATATTACCGACAACTGCCTTAATTTCATGAAATGCTCAGACCTTGGTCAAGATGCAGCTTCTACGCATGCGTCGACACAGGTTGTTTCGCAGTCTTCGACCGGAACAACAACAAAACCACAACCTTTAACAACAAATTCAACAACAACAACAACATTCACTTCAACTTTACCTACTTCTACAGCAACACAGCCAAATGGTGAGTCCAAATACCTTTATAACCCATAACCGGTGTGCAAGTGTTGAAGGAAATCATGATTCAGAATTATGACGTTTGAACAGCCTCAATAATAAGCAAATATAACTCAATAAATGAGTAAAAAAGATGAGTCATTTAAACTGCTTGAGAAGTCCTCGGCGAGTAACTGTGATTGTATGATATGTCCTCGGTGAGAAACTTTGCCTTTGTGAAAATTATTTGGTGAGTAACTGTAACTGTGTGAGGAGTCCTCGGCGAGTAACTGTAACTGTGTGAGAAGTTCTCGGCGAGTAACTGTAACTGTGTGAGAAGTTCTAGGCGAGTAACTGTAGAAGTCCTTCGACTCTGTGAGTAACTGTAACTGTGTGAGAAATTCTGGGCGAGTAACTGTAACTGTGTGAGAAGTCCTCGGCGAGTAACTGTAACTGTGTGAGAAGTCCTCGGCGAGTAACTGTGTGAGAAGTCCTTCGCGAAGTCCTCTGTGAGTAACTGTAACTGTGTGAGAAATTCTGGGCGAGTAACTGTAACTGTGTGAGAAGTCCTCGGCGAGTAAACTCTAACTGTGTGAGAAGTCCTCGGCGAGTAACTGTAACTGTGTGAGAAGGTCCTCGGCGAGTAACTGTGACTGTGTGAGAAGTCCTCGGCGAGTAAACTGTGTGAGAAGTCCTTCGCGAGTCCTCTGTGAGTAACTGTAACTGTGTGAGAAGTCCTCGGCGAGTAACTGTGTGAGAAGTCCTTCGCGAAAAGTCCTCTGTGAGTAACTGTAAACTGTGTGAGAAATTTCTGGGCGAGTAACTGTAACTGTTGTGAGAAGTCCTCGGCGAGTAACTCTAACTGTGTGAGAAGTCCTCGGCGAGTAAACTGTAAACTGTGTGAGAAGTCCTCGGCGAGTAACTGTGACTGTGTGAGAAGTTCTAGGCGAGAAACTGTAACTGTGTGAGAAGTTCTCGGCGAGTAACTGTTAACTGTGTGAGAAGTCCTCGGCGAGTAACTGTAACTGTGTGAGAAGTCCTCGGCGAGTAACTGTGACTGTGTGAGAAGTTCTAGGCGAGAAACTGTAACTGTGTGAAAGAAGTTTTTCGGCGAGTAACTGTGTGAAAAGTTCTCGGCTAAAGTCCTCTGTGAGTAACTGTAACTGTGTGAGAAATTCTGGGCGAGTAACTGATACTGTGCGAGCAGTTCACGGCGAGTAACTGTAACTGTGTGAGAAATTCTGGGCGAGTAACTGTAACTCGTGCGAGCAGTTCACGGCGAGTAACTGTACCTGTGTGAGAAGTCCTCGGCGAGTAACTGTAACTGTGCGAGCAGTTCACGGCGAGTAACTGTACCTGTGTGAGAAGTCCTCGGCGAGTAACTGTAACTGTGCGAGAAGTTCTCGGCGAGTAACTGTAACTGTGTGAGAAGTTCTCGGCGAGTAACTGTAACTGTGTGAGAAGTTCTCAGGCGAGTAACTGTAACTGTGTGAGAAGTTCTCGGCGAGTAACTGTAACTGTGTGAGAAGTTCTCGGCGAGTAACTGTAACTGTGTGAGTAATTCTGGGCGAGTAATTGTAACTGTGTGAGAAGTCCTCGGCGAGTAACTGTGAGTAACTGTAACTGTGTGAAAGTTCTAGGCGAGTAACTGTAACTGTGTGAGAAGTCCTATGTGAGTAACTGTGTGAGAAGTTGTCTGTGAGTATCTGAACCTGTGTGAGAAATTCAGGGTGAGTAACTGACCCTGTGTGAGACATTCTCGGCGAGTAACTGTGTAAGAAGTCCTCGACGAGTAACTGTATGAGAGGTCCTTGGTGAGTAACTGTAACTATGCAAGAAATTCTTGGCGAGTAGCTGTAACTGTGTGAGAAGTTGGTGAGTAACTGTAACTGTGTGAGAAGTCCTCGGCGAGTAATTGTAACTGTGTGAGAAGTTCTCGGCGAATAATTGTACTGAAACTGTGCGAGAAGTTCTCGGCGAGTAACTGTAACTGTGTGAGAAATTCTCCTGGGGGGTTAGGGAGTATGGGCGGGCGAGGCGGGGCCGGGCTGTGCGAAGAGCAGGGGGCGAGTTTGTAACTGTATGAGAGGTTTTTCCAGGCGAGAAATTTTGTACATTAACTGTAACCTGTGCCGAAAAAAAATTCTGCGGCGAGTAACTGTGTGAGAAATTCTGGGCGAGAAACTGTAACTGTGTGAGAAGTTTTCTCGGCGAGTAATTGTACTGTAACTGTGCGAGAAGTCTCGGCGAGTTTTTAATAATTTTTCTGATTTTAAACTTTTTTTTTATTGTTAACGGTTGTGAAAAAATTCTGGGCGAGTAACTGTAACTGTGAGAGTAATTCTGGGCGAGTAATTGGGTAACTGGGTATGAGAAGTTCTCGGCGAGAAATTGTACTGTAACTGTGCGAAAAATTCTCGGCGAGTAACTGTGTGAGAAATTCTGGGCGAGTAACTGTAACTGTGAGAGAAGTTCTCGGCGAGTAACTGTGAGTAACTGTAACTGTTGTGAGAAGTTCTCGGCGAGTTAACTGTGAGTAACTTAACTTATGAAAGAAGTTCTCGGCGAGTTAAACTGTTAAACTGTGTGAAAGCCCTATGGGATAACGTAACGGTGAAGAAATTCTGGGCGAGTTACTGTAACTGTGTGAGAAGTCCTATGTGAGTAACTGTAACTATGTGAGAAATTCTGGGCGAGTTACTGTAACTGTGTGAGAAGTCCTCGGCGAGTAACTGTGTGAGAAGTCGTCTGTGAGTAACTGTAACTGTGTGAGAAATTCTGGGCCAGAAACTGTAACTGTGCGAGAAGTTCTCAGCGAGTAACTATAACTGTGTGAGAAGTTCTCGGCAAGTAACTGTAACTGTGCGAGAAGTTCTCAGCGAATGACTGTAACTGTTTGAGAAATTCTGGGTTAGTAATTGTAACTGTGTGAAAAGTCCTCAGCGAGTGACTGTAACTGTGTGAGAAATTCTTGGCGAGTAATTGTAACTGTGTGAGAAATTCTCTGCAAGTAACTGTTACTGGATGAGAAGTCCTCGGCGAGTAATGTTTACCGTGTTAGATGTCCAATGTGAGTAACTCTACTATGTGAGAAGTTCTCAGCGAGTAACTATAACTGTGTGAGAAGTTCTCGGCGAGTGACTGTATCTGTGTGAGAAGTTCTCGGCAAGTAACTGTAACTGTGTGAGAAATTCTGGGCGAGTAATTGTACTGTAACTGTGCGAGAGTTCTCGGCGAGTAACCGTAACTGTGTGAGAAATTCTGGGCGAGTAACTGTAACTGTTTGAGAAGTCCTCGGCGAGTAACTGTGAGTAACTGTAACTGTGTGAGAAGTTCTAGGCGAGTAAATGTAACTGTGCAAGAAGTTCTCGGCGAGAAACTGTAACTGTGTGAGAAGTCCTCTGTGAGTTACTGTAACTGTGTGAGAAATTCTGGGCGAGTTATTGTAACTGTATGAGAAGTTCTCGGCGAGAAATTGTACTGTAACTGTGCGAAAAATTCTCGGCGAGTAACTGTGTGAGAAATTCTGGGCGAAAACTGTAAACTGTGTGAGAAAGTTCTCGGCGAGTTAATTGTACTGGTAACTGTGCGAAGAAGTTCTCGGCCGAGTAACTTAAACTGTGTGAGGAAGTCCTCTGCGAGTAACTGGTAAACTGTGATGTGAGAAATTCTGGGCGAGTAATTGTACTGTTAACTGTGCGGAGAGTTCTCCGGCGAAGTAACCGTAACTGTGTGGAGAAATCTGGGCGAGTAACTGTAAACTGTTTGAGAAGTCCCGCGCGAGTAACTGTGAGTAAACTGTAACTGTGTGAGAAGTCTAGGCGAGTAAATGTAAAACTGTGCAAGAAGTTCCCTCGGCAGAAACTGTAACTGTGTGAGAATCCTCCTGTGATTACTGTAAAACTGTGTGAAAATTTCTGGGCGAGTTTTGTAACTGTATGAGAAGTTCTCGGCGAGTAATTGTAACTGTAACTTGTGCGAAAAGTTCTCGCCCGAAATAACTGTGTGAAGAAATTCTGGGCGAGTAACTGTAATTGTGCGAGAAGTTCTCGGCGAGTAACTGTAACTGTGAGATAAATTCTGGGCGAGTATACTGTAACTGTGTGAGGAAGTCCCTCGGCGAGTAACTGTGTGAGAAGTCGTCTGTGAGTAACTGTAACTGTGTGAGAAATTCTTTGGCCAGTAACTGTAACTGTGCGAGAAGTTCTCAGCGGAGTGACGTAACTGTTTGGAGAAAATTCTGGGTTAAAAATTTAAGTGTGTGAAAAAAGTCCTCAAGCGAGTGACTGTAACTGTGTGAGAAATTCTCTGCCCAGAAACTGTTAAACTGGATGAGAAGTCCTCGGCGAGTTATGTTTACCGTGTTAGATGTCGGAAGTTCTCAGCAAGTAACTGTAACTGTGGTGAGAAGTTCTCGTCGAGAAACTGTAACTGTGCGAGAAGTTCTCAGCGAGTAACTGTAACGGGGTGACAAGTCTTCGGCGAGAAACTTTAACTGTGCGAGAAGTTCTCGGCGAGTAACTGTAACTGTGTGAAAAGTCCTCCGCGAGTAACTGTAACTGTTTGAGAAGTTCTCGGCGAGTAACTGTGTGAGAGGTTCTCGGCGAGTAACTGTTTGAGAATCGTCCTCTGTGAGTAAACTGTAACATGGTGAGAAATTTTCTGGCGAGAACTGTAAAACGGGGTGCTAGAATTCTCGGCGAGTACCTGTAACTGTGTGAGAAGTCCTCGGCGAGTGACTGTAAATGTGTGAGAAGTTCTCTGCGAGTAACTGTAAATGTGCGAGACGTTCTCGGCGAGTAACTGTTTGAGAAATTCTGGGCGAGTAATTGTAACTGTGTGAGAAGTTCTAGGCGAGTAACTGTAACTGTGCAAGAAGTTCTCGGCGAGTAACTGGGTGAGAAATTCTGGGCGAGTAATTGTAATTTTGTGAGACGTCCTCGGTGAGTAACTGTGAGAAATTCTGGGCGAGTAATTGTAACTGTGTGAGAAGTCCTCGGCGAGTAACTATAACTGTGCAAGAAGTTCTAGGCGAGTAACTGTGAGTAACTGTATGAGAAGTTCTCGGCGAGTAACTGTACTGTGCGAGACGTTCTCGGCGAGTAACTGTGTGAGAAATTCTGGGCGAGTAATTTCCTAACTGTGTGAGACGTTCTCTGCGGAGTAACTGTGTGAGAAGTTCTGGGCAAAATAATTGTAACTGTGTGAGAAGTTCTCGGCGAGAAACTGTAACTGTGGGTGAGAAGTCCCCTATGAGTGACTGTAACTGTGTAAAAATTCTGGGCGAGTAATTGTAACTGTGCGAGAAGTTCTCTGCAAGTAACTGTTACTGGATGAGAAGTCCTCGGCGAGTTGTGTTTACCGTGTGAGATGTCCAATGTGAGTAACTCTACTGTGTGAGGAATTCTCGGCGTGTAAATGGAACTGTATGAGGAGTCCTCGGCGAGTTACTTTTACTCTGTGAGTAGTCTTCGGCGAGTAACTTTGAGTAACTGTAACTGTGCAAGAAGTTCTCGGCGAGTAACTGTAACTGTGCGAGACGTTCTCGGCGAGTAACTGTGTGAGAAATTCTGGGCGAGTAATTGTAACTTTGTGAGAAGTCCTCGGCGAGTAACTGTGTGAGAAATTCTGGGCGAGTAATTGTAACTGTGTGAGAAGTCCTCGGCGAGTAACTGTGAGTAACTGTAACTCTGCAAGAAGTTCTCGGCGAGTAACTGTAACTGTGTGAGGAGTCCTCGGCGAGTTACTTTTACTCTGTGAGTAGTCTTCAAAGAGTCACTTGTACTGTGTGAAAAGTCTTTCGTCACTATTGACTAGAGTTATGTGAGTCATGTTTCACTTGAGATCAGTGAGTTATGTTTTATAGATACAACTGCTTGAGAAATTATCAGTGAGCAATATGCATTATGTTAGTAGTATTCAGTGGTCAATGTTCACTTTGTTACTTTTTTAAATTTAATTCTACAAGAAAAGCTTCACTGCTATAGTGCTCAGTGAGTTACTTTCACAGTAAGTATCGAACAGTTGTAGTTATTCAAGCTTTATCAAAATGAAAGTTATCATCACTTTTTTTTTCTCCATTTGTCAGGATTTCAGTCTTGCAGCGATGCACTATCCAGTGTGACAAAAGACAATGGAACGTTTGATATTCTAGTTGGTAGGTATCATAAAATTACAAACTATTACAAAAACACCTATATAGTTGGGACAATTATAGACATGTTTAAAGCAATACATATAAAATTATGCATGTAAAACCTCTTTTTCTTAAAATGACCAAGCATGGTTCATGATAATATTTGTACAAGTTTGAAATTATATTATAAAGAAATAGTTTTTCATGTAATTTAAGTCTTGATTAAAAAAAAGACAATGTTGTTTTTTTAAAGATGGAGGCACCAGAGTTGTGACTGTATTGTGTCAGAAGATTAATGGGGACGATTGGCTGGTCATACAAAGACGGACGGACGGGTCCGTGGATTTTAACAGAAATTGGCAGGATTATAAAAATGGTTTCGGGGACTTCAATGGAGAATTTTGGCTAGGTATTATCACTTTTATTAAACTCGAGATATATCAAAACAACATTCTTAAGTTAGTTTGTTGGCTTCTTTATGAATTAAAGGTACATTCTGTTTAAACATTTCTTTTTCTTCGAAAAAGGAAAACATGTTATGTGTTTTATAATTATAGTGTTATAATGGATTTAAAATATCTGAAGAGAGGAAAAGCATTGAGTGTGAAAACATTTCTACATAAATGGTAGCGAGATCTAAACAAAGTAAATGTAGTAGTTTTTAGTTTATACAAATTTATTTTAGTTAGATTTTGTTGGAAACTATAATGCTTTTTGAAACACTCTCGAATCCGTTCCTGTACCCAACCAGTACTAAGCAATGAATGTAATGTTACTTTCTCAAGGAAACAACGGCTTGCCCCTGACAGGGTTTGAACCTTCACCGTCAGCAATCCTTAGATTACTACGAAATAGTACTTTGACTTCGATACAGAATTATTGCCAAAACGCAAAAGAATCAAGAGATAGCTGAAGTATGATTTGGAAACGGTAATTAGACACCAAATGTTAAAATCTTTTGAAAAATAAAAATGATTGCAATTAAAGGCTTAATGGGCTTTAAATATGGCAACACAAAAATTCAAACAAAGCATCATTTTATATTTTCAAAAGCATCAAGAGGTCAATGAATATATCTGTCAATGATATTTAAGGCAATGACCTAATTTCATAACACTTTATTTTAATTCATTTATTTCTATAGATTTTTTTTTATCATCGTAATTTCGTTGTTTTGATTTGTAATTATTTGCTTTTTTCCATTGTTAACCTAACATTTATTAATATATATTCATATCTTTATAATACCTACCCACCTACTATCAACAAACATAGTCGCTTTACTGCAATATTACGTTTGTCTTGAAAGCAAGTATTACTGTTTTCAAACAGGTAACGAACAAATACATCAGATCACGTCAAACGGCGTGTTTACGTTACGTATTGAAATGAACGATTGGGGAGGTAACCTTCGTTACGTTCAATATGAGCACTTTGACGTCAGTAGCGAGTCAAATATGTACACTCTAACTGTAGGATCATTCCAGGGAGACGCTGGTGAGTGAAGCCAAATCTGTTTTCTTCTTTTTCATACCGCCTCCGTGGTCGAGAAGTTAGAGTCGATGACTTCTGATCTGGTTACCTCTCAGGCGTGGGTTCGATACCCGGAGATGCTTTGTTAGTTTAGCACGGAGGAAGGCGTAAAATGAAATAAACAAACTTTTTTTTTCTTATTTTTTAAGGTTATAAATCTATATCTTATGAAATATTTTAATAAAATTTTTCAACAGTAACATTATATTGGTTACATTATTATATGGTTGATTTCGGAAAAAGTTGTAACATAGAATGTCTCTGTTATATTTAATTAACATGAATAATGTGCGTAAACAGCATAAAACGTTACGGAACGCAATATTATTTTGCTATTTTAAGTAGGGTTTTATCCTTTTAGCTATGATTTTGTGCACGCGACATTCGCTTTTAAGGCAATAAATTACCATATCTATTTCATACAAGAATTTTGGATGTATACTTTTTTAAAATTGAAATAATAATTTTTTTTACAGATATACTGTATAGCTTTATATACTTTAACGTCAAGTATATATAACATATATATAATTTAATTACAATTATTTTTCCTAATATGTATATATATGATTTTATTTCCATTTACTTTGTTTTGTTGTTGTTTTTTTGTTGTTGTTTGTTTGTTTGTCTGTGTGTTGTTTGTTCGATTCGTTCATTGAAGAAAAAATAAATTTAATGCGTAAATCTAAACAAATAATATCTATAATATGTAAAAAAAACATCAACAGCAATAAAAGATCAGTGCAAGCATGTACTGTAAATCGGAAATGTTGAGAGGAATTAAATGCCGCTTTTGCATTTCGAAGATCAATAATAAAATGTTCACCAAACATCGTTTTTTTAACATAACTGAAAGAAAACATTCGTGAGAATATCACATCGCGAAAAAGTCCGAAATTTTGATTTAACGAAAGTTTAGCCAGGCAAAATTATCTGATTTTACAGCAAATTTGTAAAATATGAGAAACGTTTTGTGAAATTGTATAAATAACATTTCAAGTGTCGATATATATATATAAAAAATAAACATGTATAAAAATGTAAACGTGTACAATTATTTATTATATACTTGTATGTGAAATATTGAGAAATATTTAGGAATGAAATAAAGTGCGTCTAAAGTTTCATTTCCGTATTTTCACTGTAAATAAATATTTTTCCCCTGCAGTGAAACATATTTTCCGCATTTTTTTTGGTGTCGTGCCAGACTGTTTTCTTCTAAATACTGCCAGCACAAAAATGTAATGAGAAGTCTTTCAAATTGTAATGTCAAAAAGGAGAAAAATGTATATAATAAACAGAAAATTCTCTTTTTTTATGAAAACAGGATTAATTTTCATTTTGTGGTATGAAAATTATCACATTTCACTCGTGGCTTCCACAGCTTATAAAATCTTCATTTTCATACCACTCGGTGAAAATAAATGCATAACATGTATTTATAGAAAAAAAAACTTGAATATCCGCTATAACGTTTGGAATACAATGTTTATTTCAAGGAGATTCATTTCACTACCACCAGTCTGAGTTGTTACGTCACAATGGTATGCCGTTCTCAACACCGGATCGAGACAACGACCGTTCCTTCATGAATTGTGCCAACAAACTACAGTCAGGATGGTGGTTTAACTCCTGCTATAGGTATGTGTTGATTTGATAGCGAAAACATTAAAAAAGAAACAAAAACAAAAACAAAAAAAACTTGTGTTATGAAACCGAACATGCAGCAAATACAATTTTGCTGTTTTTGGGTTGTTTAGAGATACAGTTTTTTTTTTCTTTTTTCTTTATGTATCTAACCTCTCCAGTCGTTATTCATTTAGTATGTTTCTATATATGTCTATTTTATGTTCTGTTCTGTCTGTGTCTGTTTATTTGACACAATGTAACGTTACGATAAAAATTCTTGCGCAAAAAAGGGATTTCCCCTTTTCATTTGTTCCCATGATCTCCTTTTTTTCCTGATTTTATACATATAAAAGGGTGTAAATTCCGTCTGTCAGCTTAACAATTCTTTTTTCACACCATTTTTTAGGGTTTCCCAGTCCTTTTCGAAAATTTTATTTTTATCCGAAACTGGGAAAATTTGGGGTTTTTCCGTTTTACCCCTCGACCCAAAACAATTTTTACCTTTACGTTCAGGGGTGCATACCAGTTACAATAATTTTGTCAATCTGTCCCTGTTTTCAACCCGTAACTGTAAAAAGTTGCTTAACACCCGATTTCTGGGAAAAAATAAAGTAAAACCCATAAGTCTTTTACGTTGAAGCCGCGCTAGCTGGTTTGTAGTTTTGGGATATGGCATAATCTCAATGTAAAGCTCTCAACAAAAAAGATCTAAATTTTTCATATAATTGTGTTGCTTCCATTGCGTCTAAGGTACCTCCCATTTTTTTCTATTGTGACATGCATTTGCAAGACCAACCACTCTTTCTCTTGGTTTTATCATTAACATTTTTCGAAAGTTGCTGAGTGTGCAATTAGTTCAAATTACTACCATGACTACGATATTCCTTATGTTGAGTTCTTTTATGTCTATTTATAGCTCTAACCTTAATGGCAAGTACATGTCGCATCCTTATGGCCAAAGAATGCTAGGTGAAGCATCCGGGGAACCAACTCTTGACGGAACTGGCATAGAATGGTACCCGTACCGTCACCGCCAGTATTCAATGAAGACATCGAAAATGATGATTAAACAGGCAAACAGCGGAATGCATTTCATTGGATGAAAATAACTCGGGTTTTGTAGAATGGAAAATAATCTTTTTTTCTGTTATTGAAGAGCTTTTTGTAGATTTGTTTCTCCGAGCAAAAATTTGCAAATTTTCACGAATCTTAAATTAAAACTCATTTCCACAAAGTACGACTTTTTTTATTTTTATATGTCTTGAGTTATTATAAACATTTAAAAAATGATCCAATTACTTAAATCAAAACAATTATCTTTGGGGCCAGATATTTACTGCAGCTAGCAGAGTACGGACTCCGGGCATGTCAACAGGAGAAATCTGAAAGTCAATCGTAAATGTGAATGTTAATTCAAGAGTATATAAATAAGGCACGCATCAAATTCGACCGAGTGAAAGTTTTCGTATACCAGTAAAGAGCTGTTCACTCCCTTTAGGTTAATAAACTTCAAACCATAGGAACTCAGGAACAGGACCGCATATTGCTGCGAATAAATGTGTTTCCGTACCGTCTTTACAAATTCTTTGCCCTACCTATGAATATCTTTTTCATATTGTCCGAGTGTCTTTAATAATATAATCTAAATTTAATATTATCTGCTAGCTTAAAAATCAGTCAAAATTATGGTACATAATCATTGCAAAAATCCTTTTTCATAAAACCGTGAAATTTATCCCATATCGTGTTCATTTGTTATATTCTTTTAAGGTCATACACTCGGATGGTACGAAAAGATTTTTAGATTTAGGAGAAACATTTTTAAAAACCATTACACGATCACAATTTGCGGGCCGTTCCCATGCCCCTATGCTTCAAACAAAGGGAATCGACAGATACGCCATGTACGAATAGACGCAAACTTGTTTTAAATGCTATTTGACTTATCGATACATACAGATGAACAACTGTACGTGTCTGCGCTACATAGGCAACATAGCTGCGCTCACGACTGCACTGAATATACTACTCTGGGAATGATAGTATACCCATTGCTTTAGCTGTAATTCCCACGACAACCACGTCATTATGAAAATTTATGTAGATAGTTTGCCTTGTGGCTGTATTTCCGTTCTCACTGAAATAGTTACGTTACTTGTGAAACAACAAGATGTCAACATTTTCCTAGATGGAGCTTGTACAATGCAGCATCATTTGACCCATGGCTAATACTGAATTACAGATATATGGACAAGGGCAAATCTCAATACCCCCTCCTTAATGGGAGCATAAAAAGTTTATACTCTTAATATTTTTTTTTTTCACAAAGAGTTTATGACACGAACTAATGTTTTATTATATAATTTTAAGTCTTGGTATCGAGTTTTGTGTCGATTTCTTTACAAAAAAAGTACATTCGTATAATTATAATTATGTATTTAATGATTTTGAAAAAGACGCATGATTTACTGCGGAATCACACGATTTATTTTGCGAGTCGTCGATAAAGACACAAGTACATACAAAACATTTACATACATAATCTGTACACTTCATGACCAATTCTAATTTTCTGGCTTTTTATTTGCAAAACATTTTTATTTACACTTTCTTCAAATGGAAAGACAATGTTAACTTATTTCCGTATACAAATAATGTACTGTACAAGTTGCTGTAAATATGAGTGAATCAGGCTAAAACTAAATTATGCGCCGCCTTGAGAATGGGTGTTACACATTTGGACAAAACGCGTCAGTGTAAAATCTGAATTTTTCAATATTTAGGAAACAAGTTCGTTTTGAAAATATTTATCTTTCAAATCAAAATTTTGTATTTTTCTTTTGAGAGGATTTGGATAATAATTTGGATAATTTGGATTGACTTTACAAGGTGTCAGAAACTGTAATTATAAGGTTATTGTATGAACTTAGGTGTAAAAGTAAATTTTACAGTTACTGTGGTTAAATGTTGCTTTCAGCACATTTATTTTGCGAATAAATAATTGCTTATATGATAGGTGAATTTGTACATTATATAATAATTGATATTGAAATCAGACCAAAGGCAATTCAATGTTAATTTTCTTCAGAAAAATGTTTTGCTCTCATCTGATTAAATATTATAACATATATTGTTTATTTAGGCTAAGATACATATTGTTTGTTCATTCAAAATGACTAAAATCGACCATGGTCATACAGTATGCAATCAATGATAAGAATATCCACAATTTATACCACCCTGCAATTAAGACACCTTTGGTCGAGTCCCGATGGTGGTCTTAATTGAGAGATTTTACTGAAGATCTTAACGACAAACCCAGCCCGGATCTACTCCTTTCTAGTAGATTTGAACCAAAAACAAAGCCCAGTTTTATCCTCAGAGAATACCATGAACTTGACCAAAACCCCGATGATACGCCTATCTAGTAGCTTTTAACCGTAAACAAAGCCCGGTGCTATCCTTAGAGAATATAGTGAATATGAACAAACCAACGACGATGCTAGAACTTGGTTGGGGTTTTCGAGAAGACCTACTTGAAAGGCCACTCACAACGGCTTTGTTCATATTCACCGTATTCCCTGAGGATAGAACTGGGCTTGCTGTTCGGTTACAAGCAACTAGAAAGGCCTATCCCGTGGATTTGGTCGGCTGGACTTACTGTATTCTCTTAGGCTAGAACCGGGCTAAGTTATATGTTCAGAATTACAAGAAACATCTATAACAGTGGGTGTGGTCAGCACGACTGTATTACCGGTGGCTAGAATCGAGCCTGGTTTCCTGTCAAGAGCTTCTAGAAAGGCTTATTACCGTGGGTTTCACCAGCTTGACTGTATTTCGTAAGGCTTTAACCGGGCTTAGTTTTCCGTTTAGAAATACTAGAAAAGGCTTACCACAATGGGTTTGGTCAGTTTGACTCTCTAAGGCTGGAGACGGGCTTGGTTGTTCGTTAGGAACTATAAGAAGGCCAATCACCATGGGTTTGCTTATTTTCATCGTATTTCGTTAGGGTATAGTCAGCTTGAAGGCATTCCGTGAGGCTATAACTGGATTGGTTCTCCGATAAGAACTACTAAGAAGGCCTATCACCGGGGTAGTGGTTAGCTTGACTGTATTCGTGAGGCTATAAACGGGTTTGGTTTTCTGTTATGAACAAGTAGAAATCCGTATCATCATGTGTTTGGTCAGCATGACTGTATTCCCCGAGGATATAACCGGGCTAAAATTTCCGTTAAGAGCAACTAAAAAGGCCTATTTGCGTGGGTGAGGTCAGCTTGACAGTATTCTTCTAGGCTAGAACCGGGCTTGGTCATTCGTTGCTCCGCTTTACTGCATTCCGTGAGGCTTGAACCGGGCTAAGTTTTCCATTAAGAACTTAGGAAGGCCTATCACCGTGGGCTCGTTAATATTCACTGTATTCCCTTGAGGATAGAAACGGGCTGGGTTTTCTGTTGAGAACTACTATAAAGGCACATCACTGTGGGCTCGTTAATATTCACTGTATTCCCTATGGATAGAACCGGACAGGTTTTCGGTTAAAATCTACTAGAAAGGCCTATCAACGTGGGCTCGTTAATATTCACTGTATTCCCTTGAGGATAGAACCGGGCTCTAGTTTTCCATTAAGAACTACTAGAAAGGCCTATCAACGTGGGTTTGGTCAGATTGTCGGTAATCCCTGAGGTAGAACTGGGCTGGGTTATGCGTTAATAATATCTAGAAAGGCCGATCACTGTGGGTCTGGTCAGCTTGACTGTATTCCGTGAGACTAGACCCGGTTGTTCTACTAGAATAAATACCTATCACCATGGGTTTGGTCAGCTTTTCTGTATTCACCGAGACTACAGACGGGCTTGGTTTTCCGTAAAGAACTACTAGTAAAGGCCTATGACCGTTGGTGTGGTCAGCTTGACTGTATTCACTGGGGCTAAAGCTGGGCTTCGTTTTCCTTTAGCAGCTTGACTGTGTTCCCTGGCAGTAGGTGCAAATTTTAACCACTTTGGTAGAAGGGTTTCTTATGATATAATATACCAATTTCTAATCATCAATAAATTGAATTTCATGCAAGAGTATGTACCTAAGGGACGCTTCGAATTTGGCCAGACGGAACTTTCAGTGTAACAGTGAATACTTTGGTCACTTCACTTTAAACAAGGGGAAGCAACAAATACGGCATATACAAATGTAAACTTCAGAATTGAAGACGTTGCTAAATAACTAATTGATACAAATGCACTGTTTATTGTAGTTGTTTTTATTGTTTAGCAGCATCTGAAAATTGTAAATGTTTTTGACTACTATATGCGCAGATATTTTTCCAGTGTACGTTGTACAAACGTATACGTTTATGCGGGGTTTACCATTTAAAGAAAAGAAAAATAATATATTTCTTTTTTTTTTATTCATTTATGATTATAATTAAATATAGCAGTATATATAAAAGCACAACTATTTACAATATGATACAGTTTATCATCTAAAAATGTTAAAAAACAACACATGAACATGTATGCAAGATATAAATATGTATGGGAAATAATTTTTTTAGAAAAAAACGTCTTATTGTAGTGTTGAAAAAAAATGAAACGTAAGTAGTGTATATAATAGTTACATTACTATTTTCTGAAAAGAAATATAAATATAAACTTAAAAGCATGTACAAAAACTAAATTTATGACCAAAACATGTCATATCAGAAATCTGGTTCACTTACTGTGCAACAAACACGTGTGAACTTCGGACGGAAAAGAAGAAAGATAACCGTATTCATGCACGAACTATTTTTTATGTTTGCCATTCTTGAGTATAGACTTTAAAACACGCTCTACAGTTCTAAATATCACAGATAGGTCTAGAAATTTTTCTATAATAAAATATTATATCTAGAAATTTTTCTATAATAAAATATTATAATCTTATACAATATACGTATATGATAACAGGAATTTCCTCAATAGTAACGGATGGCCCGTAGCGTCTCCTATAAATACGACTATCTATTTTTAAGCCCCAAGTGTACACGACCTTGACACCAACCCTCGAAAGGGTAGTGGTCAGTGGTAGAAATCAAAAATATCTGAAACGTGAGTCAGTATATGGGGATAATATGAGAAATAAGAAGGGTATGTGATGAAAGGACGGGAAAAGAACAATTGGACGGAAAAGGGACGGAAAGGAGGACGGATAGAAGATATGTCAAACCGGTAAAACTTAATTAATGGTCTAGAAAGACGAACAATAATACTATTATAGAAAGCAACTAAAATATACAACAACAGTCATATGGTTATGTTATGAAGAAAAAACTTCAATATGTAGTTAAAAAGAATAAAGAAAGAAACAATGCCTAAGCCAGCACCTTTTTTTTATTTTATCCTGGTTTTCAAACTCACAAAAATTTGAAAAGAAATAAAAAAAAAAAAAAGAGCCCAAGACAGTTGATCCTTTTCTTAGTTAATGTTTCTCTTTCAGAGCGAACATAAGATTGATTTAATTATAATTTATCAAGTTATTTTCATTATAATTGTTTGTAGGCGAAGTTTTATTTATCTGGAACAAAAAAAAACAACAAATAAATCACATTAACATACAATATATATAATGAAAGTAAATAAACAAATATATAAATAACATTCGCTTGGCCATAAAAAAATTACCAAGTCTGTTCATATAAAAATATTATTTCAACATATCACAGTTACAGTATAGACTGAATCACAAATTGAAAATAAATTCATGTACATTGTAAAATAATACAGTATATTTCAAAGATACCCGAATAATTATGAATATGTTATACACGTATATAATAAAGGTCCATATAAGATTTCACAAAACACTGCAAATAGTAAAATATTGTACATGTATCTGTCTATGACATTTATATAAAGACATTTTTATATAGACAAAAAATCCTTTGTTAAAAAAAAGAAATCCTTCGTGAATTATGAAAATAAAAATTTAAAGGTACAAATATAAGATTAGTTTGACACAGTATGATCATAAGAGAAATTAACCAGTGTAGCATCCCCCAAGCACCGGCCTAAATTGTATTTATTTACATTTTCGACGTTTAACATTACTGGAATCTACCTTTAGATAAATGACCACTGTTTACATTTGTTCCTACTTTCAAGTCGTTTTTTGTGTTTTTCTTAGAAATCAAACGTCAAATAAATAATAAAATAAATCAATAAATATATGTAAAAAATTATTTTCTATAATTGTAAGATAAATTAAAAAAGCACAAAATTGACATATGGACAATTATCTACTAGTACTTGATTCCTAAAAAAAGGAATGTGTTTCTTTACTGAAATATTTCCTATAAACCTTATATGTGTAGTTATTTGAATATATGACTTTAAAGAAATGACGTCACATAAATGACGAAATAACCAAAAGACGTTAACATTTGAACATAAGATACATATTGCATGACCCTAACGCCTAAACTAATCTACGGTTATAAATACTTGCATATTTTACATTTTTAAAAACGTCATTTACATAACATGACGTCAAAATGAACCATTTCTTTCGACATCCAAAATACATAGATGTAAGAAAAGAAATGTTTGACTCAAAAGACTTATCTAATGTTGTAACCCATTTCTTTTTGATGAATACAATGTTGTTTTTTAATCGCTTCAGCAGATCTTTAAGGCAATGAAATATGCTTAAACTAAAATACGTTCGAACTAAATTGAATGATGATAATAAAAAAACCTTCTGAAATTCAGAGGATTTATATAGTCTATTTCCTGCAAGCTCAAATAGCTAATAAGTACCTTAAGTGGTTTATGGCTTATGCTCCAATATAGTTTAGCTATTCATTAATTCCAAATTGTAACTGTATGTTATTTCGTTATATTTATATTACACACAAGTCCTAAATAGAAGTTAATTGATTCGATTTAAAAGTTTGCATGGAATGGATTTTTCACAGAGTTAATATAGGAGAGTTTATGTTTGATTCTGATAACTAACGAGCCCTGTGATGCTCCCGGAAGTCCCTGTCACGTGCTCTAACTTCTTCCGCCAGGTCTCCTCTTGAACTCTTCAACAAGGCGTTACTCAAACATGAAACCTGGAAACAAAATGAATATGGCATGTCCATATATGATTTGTCGGTAAATAACTCCTTTTGATTTATATATAGCTAGTGTATTACCAGCAAAATAATATATTATACAAATATGGACTTTTAAGCTGGTGAATATGATGTGACATGTACTGACAAAAAATGATGTACATATCAAATCATATTAGCAAGGTAAAAAGTACATGTCTGTTTTATTTATAATCATTAAATCGCTTATAGGATATCAAATCTGCAATTGAATACGACGGAAATCGACATTTTTCAGCTTGTCTACTTTTTCTATCATTTGTCTCCATCATTTGAGCGCATTGTCACGCCACATTCGAAATATTCTTAAAAATGTATGGACAGTAGCTAAAATAGACTAATTTGACGTTTACTTATGAGTTGCCCAATGTTAAAAACAAACTTGTCGTGACGTGACGTCATAGCACGCGTCATTTGAGAGTTTTCCAGAAAATCTATTTTTAGAGTGAAAAACGATGAATATACTCAGAAAATCTATTTTTTGAAGGAAAAATAGTGAATATACTCCGATATTAACTAGTTATTTTTTACGAAAAAATGAATCTTAACCAATCAAAGAAACTCATTGTAAGACTATTTATAGATCATATAATAAAGTTGTAGATATATATCCCCCTTGTATAAATTATAAATATCATAACGTCGTTATTTATGAATAAATCGTTCCTTTTTGGAATATTAATAGCAAAATGACAATTATAAATCACATTCAGACTTAATTAAGATTAAGAATAAAAACATGCATATTCATGACAATAATTTTTAAGGCACAAAGAAGTTTATCGCCATTGAATGCCGTTTCGGAAACTATAATACAAAACAAAAAATAAGTTTTTGAGAACAAAATTTAGGGACTTATAAATGGACTTTAATTACCCTGCTACAAAAACCAGAGTCAAATATTACCTTGTCCACAGCTTTTGGTGTCTTTTTAAGCCACGTCATCAACATGTCAAATCTAGCGTCAGCGTCACTCTGATCCCCGTACTGCATGTTTCTAATAATTGCTTGTACACGTGGTTTACTCACGCCCAAATGACTGGCAACCTGCAAAATATGACACGTGGTTTGCGAATGATAAAATTACTGGTATACTAAAAATATGATAAATTATCTAAGCTTCGTGTTAAAGTTACTGTATCTTGAAAAATATGTCACGTGGTTAACGGATAATGACAATACAGGCATTTTGAGAATAAGATAATTCTCAATACAATAATTAAATACGAACTGGACAACTAAACAACTGAATGTAAGGTTATTCTGAGAATGGTGTTTATATTTTAGATAAATATATGATTAACCAAACACATTCAAAACGTTAACTATTGTTTTGCTAAACACGTACAGACAAATAGAAAACTGTTTTAGAAAGCTCATTTAAGCTTTGGAACAGGTCAGCGATTTCAGCGATTATAGTTCTTGACCAATATGACAAAGAAACCTAATTTTTAAAATGCCTATAATTTACATTGGGTTTTATATAAAGTTTCTCTTTCTATTATGTATAATTGTGTTATGTAGTTTACCATTTTCCACTCGTCCCCTAGCTCCTCGGCTAAGAATCTTAGCATGTCCTCATTAACAGCATCTGACGTGTTATGTATAGTAACAGGTGCCCGCACCACCGTGGTATTCTGTTCCACGTGATACTATAATTAGAAAACATTCACTCATTACGATTTAATGACGTAGAAAATTTTGAGGAAAATCTTTTTAAAAAACAAAACAACACAATAATTATCAAAAGTGCTTGTTTATATCAAATAGGAGGATGAAATTAGTTTTCATATGCTCAGTTATCGTGTAATAGATAAAGTCAATGTATATTGAAATATATTGCCACTTTGGCGTGTACAACATATTTTCTTTCAGTGTTTGACTGACAAAGGAACTAGTCGGTATCGTAGGTAAATTATCGTCATCCATAAAGTTCAAATGAGTATCCCCTACAAAAATAAAGCATTTCAATGAAAAACCCTATTTTTATAGCACTGATATAGGACTCATCCTATACTAGTTAGTTGTTCAGTACTTCATTACAAAAGAGTAGTTTTTTGTTGTTGTTGTTGTTTTTTGTTGTTGTTGTTGCTGTTGTTGTAATTAAACCCCCAGTTGCATTAAAAACAATAAGAATAATATAAATCCTGTTTTAATATTCTTCATTACCATAGGTTGGTTTCTACAAATAATCTTAATCTGGTTATTAAGTGAATAACCCATTCACAAACCTTGGGTATATTTATAGCCAGTTCACACATGAGCTCCTTCTTGATTTCAAATGGAGGCTCGTCCTGGTCGTCTGACGAATCACGACGCTTTCTACGTGTTGTATTCTTTACTTTGTACTTCCGGTAAACCTGGTGAATTTAATTAAAGCATATTTACTGATTCAGTGATAAGGCAAATAAAGGTAAAATTAGAATAATTCGGCATAATTTGTGAATTTCCGTGTACAATACAAATTGAATAATCGTTTATGTAACCAGAAGCAAAAAGAAAAACGTCTTGTCACTCAGTCGCTTTTCAGATAAACATTAGATGCGGAAATGACGACATACCCGATACTGGGCGAGCTATTACCGACACAACAGTAAAAATGTTCTTTAAACTTTAATATCAAATTTGAGATAAAGCATTATTTGACAATAAAAGACATTAAAAGCAAATTCAAAATAGAGAAAAATACATATTCTCTAAAGAACGCCAAAAAAACGGAATATTAAAAAGAAACTATGACAACCTCAACAACTCCTCTGTATACAGGGAAATTTTTCTGAAGATATTTGTCCACTTCACATGCGTAGAATTCGGTTTCTGACTTTAGATTTGAGTTATACACAAACTGTATCCCTTCTGCATCTTTGTTCTTTACGTTTCCACGGAAACAAACTTCAATTACATCCCCTTCGTTTATACTCAGAACCTACGAGTGAAAATTATTCATAAAATCAATCTTATTTTACATGCATATAGTAAGACAGAAATAGTGAGCTACATATATGCTTCAACTAATCGATAATCAATATCAATAAGTATCAGTGCAAATAATACCAATCTACTAAATATTTGAATCTTTGTCAGGCAGTCGGCAAACAGTAACATTCAAATCTACAAAATAAAAGGGTATTTAAAGCTGAATTTTTAAAAGTTACAACGGAAGAAACCTGTTATACTGGGTATATTGACTATATCTTAAAATTGGTTGTGTTAAATTCTATGAAAATGCATTTAAAATTTACAATACCGGACTTGGTTCCGGTCCGTCGTCGTATCCCTCTTTTGACAAGTCCTTCAGAGTTTTATCTGTTTTTGATTGAGGAACAACCGACATCACTGTGTCAAACGGGTCATCATTCCTGCAGGATCGTTGAAAGTTAAAATTAGTAACGGTGTCATACTTAATTTAAACAAATCTTATAATATCGAAATGATTTTCACATTCAGTGTTTTTGGACGATAATAATTTACATGTACAAACAAGGATTAACAAAGCTGAAAATTAAAGAATCATGCTATCATTTTCTCCATGTATTTGAAAATTATACTCCGTTGACCGAAAGCATGTAGGCTGGATTGAGTTTCACGCTGACAATAAATAAGTGGGGTAAATGTATGTATATTACTTTCATCACAACGTCCGTGTTGAATTTAAATTTAAAAATAAAATTATTGATATGTGGAGTAAAGAATTGAAATATTAAGATTTAATCATTACTTCTGTTTAAGAATAACTTGTACGAATTTTTGCGAGAGCAGATTTGACATTTCTGTTGCCATGGTACCAACTGTGTCTTCGTGCACGTTTGTCTTCGTACGCAAAACCATAAATCTGAAAGACAATAATTAAATCAAACTTGCATCATATTCCACAATTGACATTTTACAATAACTCAATTTTAAAATGAAAATCCTAACCGATTACTAAACCCCATTAGATTTTATAATCTTCTACATAAAAAGTGAACTCTTCTTACTTTTCTAGTGGTTTGTCAAGCTCAAACTGAAGAAGGTCCAGTTTCACCTGCATAATGTTCACGTTCTCGACCGGTGACCATTTGTTCCCCTGGGCGCTTATTAGGTATAAGTTATCATTTTCATCATCTGTAAAACAATGTTCAAAAAGTTTATAATATATGTACACTATACTTTCTAATATATATTGGTGTAATGTGCAGGATGAATTCTTTCCATGTCGAATTTAATGTACACTGTATAGTTGTGTTGTTTTTCCTTTGATAAATGTACGCTGCATTTTATTTTGACTAATGTACTCACAATAATTTCTCTGAATGTCAGATTCAATGTACATTAATATTATGTACATTATTCATGTTCAATACTTGATTTTATGCAAAGTATTGTTTCTTTGTTTGTAAGTACCTCAATGAGCAAAAAAAATATGGTGTACTTTTTGTATTTTACATACACGTTGACCTTTCTACCATTACTTACATATTTCTGAAAAATCAAATGCTATTTATTTAATTTCAGAAATTATTTTTACACATTTATGTACGTCAACATTTAAATCAATAACTGACATATTCCTCATGTTAACAGTCGAATTTTGGTACTTTCATATACCCAAAATTTTCAGCCATACCTTCGTTGTTGGCATAGTCGCCCATATACCATTTAGTGGGTTTCGGCTCGTCAACTTTGTTCTCGTCTGCTGCTAGCTGTTCCTGCATTCTCTGTAACTTTGACTTTTGTTTCTCCTTCTCCATCGCTTCTATCTCGTGAGGTAATAATATATGCACCTATGATAAACAATAAGGCAATACATTACACACATTGCCGGATGAAATATATCTAAACTGTACGTTAATTATAATAACTAAGTGTAAATAGTATAACTAGATCCCGGCAGACGACATTTTTCTAAGTTGTTGCAATATCCTCCTTTGAAAAGATATTGCAGACGTTTTTAACCTAATGTTTTTTCCAGACAAATTATTGTTTTCGATCAAATCCCCGACAGAATTACTTGCAATAGATACTGGCCGTAGTCGTATTTCTTTACTTTTTTTATTCATTTATTTTTTATTTATTTTACATTTTGTAATTTTTTGTGTTGCTGTTATTTTTTGTTTAATTCCATAAAACTTAATTTAGTTTACTTGTACCAAAATTCAAGCAAACTGTAGAATTTAACGAGTTGTGACCAAAGATCTCACGCGACGCAGAAAATTCATTGGACATACCATAATAAGGTAGGAAAAATGATTGAACCCTGCCTAAAACTGCGCGCACTTGAAACTATTTACGAGTAAGTCTTTTTTAAATTTCGAAAATCCATTTACCTTTGGTGGGTTGTTCATCTTATCTTCTTTAGCTTTTCTCATGGCTGCTATTTTCTTAGCTTTTATTGGATTTGGAGGGCAAGGAACTGTTACCTGGATTTGGAAAATACACATCTTAGTACCATGAACATTTTATAGTCAAAGTATATAAATAAGTTGCAGGAAAAAAACGGCACATTTAAGGAAGGCATAGCTTAGGCCTGAGACGATTATAAGCCGCTCGCCATGTAAACTAGCAGGAAATAAAGCAGTTACGCTTCCGTGATTTCCGAATAATGAATATTCACACTGGCGGCAGATTTTTTTGTTCTGTTTTACCAATATATTATTATTTTCAATGGTAAATGATAATTTCTTAAATTCTGCTAAAACTAATTCTTGATGAAGGTAGGTATGATCGGCAACATGCAATAACCACCACATCCTATGAGTAGGCTACACCGAAACCTGGCATATTATATTAATATTTTGCCATAGATAAAACCGAGCCACCAATACTTTCAATATGTACCATATTGTCTACAACTTTAAACCAATTTTATATACATGTATGCTCTTTTTCGGGAGCAGTCTTAAACATAGGTTCTACAACTATGAGTAAAGAAAATCAAGTGGATATGTTTTTCCATAACTTTGGAGACTCACCGTGACTGGTTTTTTGAATTCCGCGGACTCGAACTCCATGTGAATAATAGGGCTGGAGTTAAGGAGGCCTTTGCAAGTCTTACTCCGGTTCTTAAGGTCATTCACTGACGAGGAATCTATCGGCTGAACCTGTTAATTGAAATATTTGAATGCTTACTGAAATTATTTGGATTATCGAAGAAGCTGAAAAATATTTCAGATTTTACAAGGGCTTAAAATAAAATTATAAATATTTTCTATAATTTAAAATAAAAGGGGTTTTCCCTTTAAAGGAAGAGAAGTAACAATATTCGTATTTCTTTTCTCGTATGGTTCGTTCCCGACAGAACTGGTAATTCGAGGGTTAGAATGTCTCATTCTTTTATCAAAACGAACTAGTATTCCGGTAAGCATTGTAACGCTCTCTTTTTAAAGTCTGCCGATAAAAGTATTTACTTTTCAGAACAACTAATCATACCTCCATTAAAATATGATCTTTTCCGTGTATACAATCTTTTGGTACGGTCAAGCTGATTCGCTGATCGTAAGATGACGTCACTTTCCCGCCTTTCTTGGAGAGTGTTGCGTAATCTCTTTTCAGGCGACTGAAAACTGCCATTCGACCAAGTGATCTTGTCTCCGCAGCCGCAAACTTTGTATCCTGAAAGTAGAATACGATATATACATGTACAACAGGTTCTTCTGATAGAGCAAGGTCAGATCTCACAAGATTTATTGTAATTTTCAGCCACTAAAATTTAGCTGAACAATCTGCCGTGAACTACTTTCGTGTATACCGAAGAACTGCCGACTGAATAAGTATCCTTTCGAACACAAAAATAGTTTCATCTTTAGAAGTAATATCATTTATATATACATGTAAGTTATTCAAATTTGATTTGATACTAAGGGTGGCTATAATTTTATATAAGATTGGCCTGTGTGTGACAGCAAACAAATAAGTGTTCTAAGTTATTCGCTCTAAAATATTTGTGAAAAGTAGATATCATTCAGGTATGTCGAGAGTTTAATAATATAGTACTATAATAACATGGCTTATTTCATATACATGTTCCGGGCAATACTAAACGAAATACCATGTGCCAGGTGGTAAATAAACATCAGTATTGCATTCCACATTGGTTTATAATTGTATATATCATCCACTAACCTTATACCCGTCGAGTACTTCCTCCTTAGTTTCCAGGCACACCCAGTGACCGTCTTTCTCAATTTTCACCACGGCCTCTTTAGAATTATGACCATGTGACTGTTTTGATGAACTGTATGGGACGCAGACGATTACTTTATCCTAGAAACAAAAACAAAAATCACCAATTCTTAAAGGCCTATTTATGTGCTTCAGAAATTTTTATTGATATTCCTCAAATGCATTTTATTTTTGGTATACATGTATTTTCTATAGTTTCCAAAAGTTACTCATTGGCCAAATGCCTAAGGCATCTTCTTCATCTGTTGCTTTTTGTCATTTAACAGATTTGTGATTTGATATTTTGTACGGAAGTCAAAATATTATTTTGTTTACATTTTGCTACATCTGTAATGTAATGTAATGTATTGTAATGTAATGTAATGTATTGTAATGTAATGTAATGTAATGTTATGTTATGTTATGTTATGTTATGTTATGTTATGTTATGTTATGTTATGTTATGTTATGTTATGTTATGTTATGTTATGTTATGTTATGTTATGTTATGGTATGTTATGTTATGTTGTTATTATGTTATGTTATGTTTATGTTATGTTATGTTATGTTATGTAATGTAATGTAATGTAATGTAATGTAATGTAATGTTATGTTATGTTATGTTATGTTATGTTATGTTATGTTATATTATGTTATGTTATGTGTTATATTATGTTATGTTATGTTATATTATGTTATGTTATGTTATGTTATGTAAAAAGATTATCAGCCGACATCTTGACGTCGGATATTTGTTCATACAGAAATGTATTTTAGTTCAATTATGTATGAAGCTAGATTTCTATGGGCTTATAGACGCACTCATGATATCCGTTTCTGGGACCAACTGAGCAATTAGTGTAAATTAGTTTCTTCCTCGCGGAAACAACGTCTTATCTGTGAAGGGGTTTGAACCCACTTGGCAACATGTCCTTAGATTTCTAGTCTGACAAAATAACTACTCGGCTATGCCGCCATACTAAACGTCGGATTTTAAATAGATTTCTGAAAAAAAAGACAGTTTCAGAAAAAAGAATGTTTCTTATGTTCTAAATCGGACATTTAAAGGTCAACTGAAAATCAAAATCTAGAATGTTATAAAATGTTAGGGCACTTACTTTAAGTTTCTCTTCAGCATTCCTGTACTCGAGATGCAGTATTAAACTGACTAATTCCTCGCTTTCCGAGAACGGTACAGGACTCTCCATCTGGTCTAAAACTGTACACGTGACGTCATTCCGGTTAAACTTATTCGGGTCTGCTCGGATGATACATCCAACGTCAAATCTGTCGTCATCCACTTTATATCTGATCGAATGATAGTAAAAAAAAAAATAAGTTGAAGGAAACTCTTTATTTAAATGCATTTAACCTGAATCGTTTGATTGTTTGTTTGGTTGGTTTGGTTTTACGGCGCACCAACACAATTTAAGTCATATGGCGCCGAAACAGGAAATATGATTTTGGCTAACCTCGGGCGTTACAAACCTTAAGCAACAACCTGACTCTTAGTTTATTTAGTAAGAAATCATCAAGTCATAAAACATTAAAGTATAGTTATTCATTCCTAAACCGATGAATGCATTCAACATAATTTTCCATTACATTTATTGATACCCCAAGAAAAAAACATATACTGTACTCGATGCTTACTTTAGTTTATTAAACTAATAACAATAACTATGTATAGATATTCTAATTGATTTTTGTGGAACTATATTTTGTGTGCATCATAAAATGCGTTATTTCGGTAAAAAGTAGGTCATACTCATAGGTTGGCCACGTGTCCCACTCTACAGTTTTCTCCGCTCCGTGTTCCCTCCTCCTCCATTCCTCCTCCTTCTCCCGAATTATCTCCTCCTCCCGCAGTCTTTGCTCCTCCATTTTCCGCCTCTCTTCTTCTTGTTTCTTCTTTTCGTGTTCACGCCTCCTTTCTTCAACCTAGAGAAAAAAGTCTTGATTTATATTCTCAAACTAAAGGTCGGTATGTTTAAGTGGTACTTATTTGTTCTTCTCTTTACATCAGTATAGGTTTTCGACAATGTTCAAGAACTAAAGCCTGGTTTCAGTTTTCTTTTTCTTTTATCTATACATGTATTCAGCAAAGCATACTAACAAATAGGAAAGCACTGATTTAGTTCCTTGATCATTATTTCTTTCTTTTCTTTTTTTCTCTCTCCGTATCTTACTGAAAGGTGCAATATTATTATGGAAGGAACCTCATACCTTTTCTCTGAAAGCTATCTCCTCCTGAATATTCTTCGCCTCCTCTTTTGCTCGTTCCGCTGCTAGCTGCGCCTCTACAGCCGTGTGTTCAGTTTCCGCCGACAATCGTAAAGCTTCGGCTAATTCCGCGTTTGCCTGAGCAACCTGCGCATTGAGACGAGCGAGCTTTTCTCTCAATTCCCGCTCTTCAATGCTCTGTGTATCCTCATCTGAAAAAAAAACAAATAATTTTTAGAAATATCGGGAAAAACTATTTTTAAAAATATCTCAAAAAAAACAACAACTTATTTTAGAAATATCGGGAACAGATGGCGCTTTCTCAAGTGAGGATATATGTCGAATTACCGATATTGCAGAAATCCTTTTATCTTGAATATCCTTTTATAACGTACCTTGTAAAATATAACTATATAAGCCTGACATTCAAGTTTAAAAAGTACCAAAGAAAACACTTTCATTTCTAAAGGAAATCAAATTGCTAAACAGTGCAAACTTTTAGGTTCTTGTGATAAAACAAACACAATTGGATGAAACGAGTTCTACATTATTGACTTTAAAGGCCAAGAATGACCTTCTTCGTTGAATAAACTTCATTATTTATCTTTCTGTATGAAAAGTAGATCCTTATTATGAAAGAATAAAAATGCTTTCAGAACTTCTAATGGGTAGCGGTGAGTTTGAGAAAAAACTTTCCTTTTCCATTTATTTTTTTACATGAAGGAATATTTAGGAAACGCATTTTTAATTTTTAATCAGTATTGCGGGGGCTGTATATGGTTGATATTAAAAATTTCTTTGGAAGTTTTTTATGGGGACACCTCTTTTATAGGCCCATTTCCTTGATGTGGCACCTTGATTTTTTATCAAGCTTTCTTGCAGGAACAAGCAATACAAATATATCGTCAACCTAAATGTTTTGATATAGAATACATGATTGTGATGTTGCATCTGTGACATGAACAAATATTTTCTATCATACATCATGTCTTTAATATAATTTGCATTTATTTATTTTATAGTTTGCACACTTTTCCGAGGTTGAGCCACGCCACACCCTGAAACAAGAATCGTTTTTGTCAACTTCCCAAATAGGTCATGCATGATACTACATACGGAAAGTGCCGAACTTTACTGGAAATAAGCATATTGCTATAAAACCGAAAAGTGAACAAAATTGGTTTCCGTCGGGGTATGTCTTTAATACACTGGCAGTAATTTACGTACGCTTAATGGAAAATTGATAACAGCAATAAAGCTCCTTCTATAAACACTGAGTGTCCTAAAATCTAGACGCCAATATCTTAATTTTATGTATGATTTGTCATTAGGTTTTATGCAATTTTGGTGTTCATTCCCTTTAAGATAAAAAAATAAATTAAAGATTTTAAAGAACATTGTGTAGCTCTGTTAAAACTACTGAATTATTGTTTGTTTTTTAAAGTAAAGGCTTAATATGGAGCCAGTTTTGAAGTGATTGTTATATTAACTGTACGTAAGTTATGAAAACGTTCGTTTTAAAACGAAGTTGTTCAAATATACAAAACACTTTCTGTATTCAGCCGTCTGCTATCAAGCACGTGCCTTACGTGACGCGTCTGTTAGACCATACATAAAGATACATAAAACGAGCGAAGTTCCTTACTTTTCTATCCGGTTGTGGGTTACAACGATGATAATGCAAACCTTTTATTTATGTTCTTTTCAGTTATTGTATAATCTAGCTTTAGAAAATATATTTCTTTTAACGCTGTGCAAAAATGATATGGCGTGTTTTTCCCTCGTAATCTGCACAGGGACAAAATACATTTTCCCTGCACAGTAATATAAAGAAAATTTCACATTAAATCATTGTACAATGTTTCATACGCTGTGATGAATAATCTATGGTATAATCATTTGTACCGCGTATGAATACATGTTCGAAATGAAGTAAAATGAATACAAAAATAAAAAATTCTTAATGTGAATACACGTGAAAATCATTCTAAAAGAAACTTTAGCTTACAGTACGGATAACCCCAGCTGATTTTACGTCTTTTGTCCTCCTTGAAAGGAATGTCCGCCGGAATTATCCTGTGCATAGCGTAATTTAATCCGTCTGAATTGAACATGTCTGAATATTCCTTACGTTTTGACCAATTACTTGCACAAAACTGATTTCCTAGATAAAACACTGGATATTTTTAAAGAATAAAAATTGAAATCTTCTTTCAGTCGTACATTTATTTTTCTCAATCGAAAACTGGTTTTCACAAATTTCTAATTATGCCCCTTTATGATCAAAGAGTTACAGCCTCTTTCTTGTCGCGTATATATTTTTTCAGACTTGTTTTGAATCTTACGGAGATGTTTTTGATATAATATTGAAGTTGATACAAGACTGGTTATATTTATACCCAATTCTTTATTTACAAACTAATTTGTCAAAAGTGTTGGCCGATAAGTAATTGCGAACGTAAAACGGTATGTCGTAAACATTTTTATCTTTGTCCAAAACATGTAGGTCACACCAATCTGATGTCATGTATTTAATAAAGGCAATAAATTACTATAAATCAGAGGGTCGGTGCCTTTCAATTGCTTTGATTTTGAGTTGACTGACCTATATCTAATTATACATTTAAGCCAGTGTTTGTAAGGCAAAGACCAAAGTAAACTATATTTAGGATTAGCCTTTAATGCACATGCGCATTATAGTATTTTAAGTGAAAAGAAGTGGCTTGTTAAAGTAAATCAAAATTAAGAAAGGGGTGGGGGTCAATGATCGAAGATGGTTTGATTCCAATTGGTAAATAATTATGTCTTTGTGAGATTAACGTTTAGATTATTTTTTGGTCCTTTATACCTAAGTTCACTACCATTATCTTACTTTCTTGTTTCTTATGTTACAGAATTTGGTCTATTTGGGATATGTATCCGAAACCAGGCTTAATACGAAATCTGTGACATATATTTTTATGTTTAAAACGGACATTGGTTACTGCATGGTGCGTGAATGTATATAATTATATGACACCGATTTAAAAAAAAATCTTTTTCTTTGTTTATTTCAAGTCCTCTCGGTTTCATTTTGAATAAAAAACCTTAAACAAATGTTGTATGTCGGTATGATGCATACTAACAAATTCAAGGTTTGCAGATTTGTTTTTCATATATTGATACTAAAGACAGTTTTTGCAGTGTTCAACCCTTACATTGGATATTGAAACTATCAAGTGGTGTTCAACCTTTAACCTCACGGAAAAACTTTCCAGCACATTTTTGGAAAAATGAATATATAACAACAAACGTGAAGAATGTTCCGGAAAAGGTTGCGTAAGTATTGCAGAGAGGTATTATAAAAAGAAAAGAGAATGCTTAATATTGTTCTTGTGAAATGAAGTGCTATTCATGGTGGTAGGGACCTGGATCTTGTACGCGATGTGGTAGACATAGTTATTTTAATATCCTTCAGTGCGGGACAAAGTTACAGTCAGGACACAAATGTGTACTTTCAAACTTTTCTTCAGAGAATGAGTACCGTCAAACTATAAGTGTAACCTTGACCTTGGAGGTAGAGACATGGGTCTTGGTAACGACATGTAGTCTTGGTGTGGTAGACATATCTGCTAGGTTATTGAGAAACCCGTCCATGCATGACAAAGTTACAGTCCGGACACCAATGTGTGTACCTATAAACAGATTGGTAACTGCGTTCAACTTAAGACATAATAATACATATTTAGTAGAACATAACTTAAGTCTCGAACTTGTTTTGTTATGCATTATATTGAACATCAATATAGAATTATTGTATCTTTATTTCCTAGAATTATTTCCTTTCCCCATTTTCTGAATAACAAAAAATTGAAGTTCAGAAAAATATGTGTAACATAAAATTCTTGAATAGAATTGCAACTCAACATTCAGATTATGCTTAGATTATTGCAGTTAAAATTACAAATAATTAAAACAAAAAAAAAACTAGATAAAAAAATATAAAATTTAATATCTGAAAATTTACTCCTATCTGAATATCAAAAAGTACATGTCACGTGACTGTTTATGTACTATATGAGGTAACCTTCTTAACAACAAAAGGTCGTTCAGCTACCGAAGTGATTCCTTGCAAATATTTGTCAAGTGTAACCTTCATACATTCCCCTTTGATAAAAGTAAACACGTCTTTATTTGTTAAATGATTTTCAAGTGAGGACAAATGACAATTTTGTACACACAAACACGAGTTACTCTCAGTTTTTTATTGACCGACTTTTAGATCTCTCTAATTTAATTGATTTTAGCTAACTGTCGAAATATTACCCACTTATGTCCAGTTTTACGTGATGTTTATTAGTTACAGAGATTCAGAATCACTGAATTTATTTTACATAAGAAGCATCAGGATATTGTTATTGAACAAAAAACGATAGTCTAGAATTGAACTATTTCATCACTTAGGCTTAGTTCAGACTATGCCATTTTATTGTCATGACTATCATTTATTTCAAAACTGGTCTTATTAGTGATTGACAGACATGTATTGAAATGTTTAGGTAAAAATGAACACTAATTATATAGATGCCCACACTTTATATTAAAGTTACAGATACTGCGGATATACACACTTTCACAGGGCCTGTGATTTATTATCGTTATGTGAATAATTTATAACTTGAGAATAATAGAATGTTAACTTATTGCTTCACTGTTGATTATATCTACCCATGATGCATATGATTACTGGATAGTAGTTGCTAGAGTGCTTGCTTTCTTATTTATCTCGTGGTCACGCGATACCAGTAACATCTCGTTCCAACGATATAATATCTCGTTCCTATGAGATAATATCTCGTTCCTTCGACATTTTAAACTTGTTTCCACGAAATCATGTCTCGTTCCTTCGACATTATTACCTTGTTTCAACAAAATCATGTCTCGTTCCTTCGACATTACTACCTTGTTTCAACGAAGTCAGGTCTCGTTCCTTCGACATTATTATCTTGTTTCCGCGAGATTTTCGACATTATTATCTTGTTTCAACGAAGTCATGTCTCGTTCCTTCGACATTATTACCTTGTTTCAACGAAGTCATGTCTCGTTCCTTCGACATTATTATCTTGTTTCCGCGAGATTTTCGACATTATTATCTTGTATCAGCGAGAACACATCTCGTGGAAACGAGAAAAATTTAAGCAATATCACACCCACGACATAGTTATCACGTTTC